GCAAGTGAATTCATGTGGTTTTGAATTTATCAAATATTCTTTTAATTTCTGTCATCATTTGATGTGTGTATTCAAAACTATGTTGTTAGGTGAATAACAGTTCATAATAGGTCATCTTGATGTATTTTATTATATGTCAATATGAAATATCACTTATTTTCCTACTTAGTAATTTTGCAACTTGAATTCTTCTTCATCAAATATTGATATTGCTACATATGCTGCCTTCTTCAGAAACATTTACAAGGTTTCTTATATCATTAACCTATTATTTGTTCACTTCCTTTATCACTTTAAAAGTCACGCCTCCTATTTCTATTATTGAGCTGTGACTGAGCTATCCCACTCCTCAGTCTATACCCAAGGGACTTAAAAATAGCTTACTACAAGGACACAGCCACATCAATGTTTATAGCAGCACAATTCACAATAGCTTAACTGTGTAACCAATCTAGATGCCTTTCAGTAGATGTATGGATAAAGAAAATGTGGCATAGATACACAATGGAATATTACTCAGCAATAAAAGAATAAAATCATGGCATTTACAGGCAAATGGACGGAGTTGAAGAATATAGCTAAGTGAAGCTAGCCAATCCTCAAAAACCAAATGTCAAATGTTTTCTCTGATATAAGGAAGCTGATTCATAGTGGGGTTGGGCAAGGTGGTGGGAGGGGAAGGGAGGAGGCATGGAGTTAGAAAAGATGGTGGAATGAGATGAACATCATTACCCTAAATACATGTATGAAGACACGAATGGTGTGAATATACTTTGTGTACAACCAGAGATATGAAAAATTGTGCTCTATATGTGTAATATGAATTGTAATGCATTCTGCTGTCATATATAGCAAATTAGAATTAAAAATATATAAAAAGATATTTTATATGTACCTTTCTATTGTTATCTAATTAAGACATACATTCTCTCCTTGTAGAAAAATCCTAATATGATTTCACTCTCCTCCAATTCCTCCCCATGTGATTTCCGAGGAGAAATCACATGGAATTTTTATTACTATTGAATAGCTTTAATTTGGGGGTTGTTATATGAACTATGATATATTTAAGTTGCTATTGACTCAGTTATTTTACATTTATTAGTTTCTTTGCTTATTACAATTTCTCAAATTTCACATATTCCCCTTAGATTCATTTTTCATTTTGCTGACTTATAGCCTTCACTATACTTTTTATACAGAGTCTGGGAGTGTTAAACTTTTTGACTCTTTAGGTGTCTAGATGTTTTAATTTTATATAATTTCTAAAGTTAAGAATCACTTGCTTACGATGGTTTATATATTCTAGCTTCAAACCAAACATTTTTAAAAAATGTAAAGATGTCTTTGGTAAATTCTTTTTCATTATTTCTTCTCTTTTATTTCTCTGCCCCCTCCTCCTAACATTCCTATTACACTAACACTGGCATGAACTCTTTTATTTTTTCTACATGTTCTACATTTCTTGACCTTTGTACTGTATTCTATGAGAATTCCATGGTTCTATCATTAAGTTTGCTAATTTATTCTTTCACTATGTTCATCTTGCTTATATTTTTAATTTTCAGGATACTTAGTCTTTTCCATAATAATTTGTTCTTGTTTCGTGCATATCTCCATGAGAATATTAATGTTTTGAGAGAGGCCACCATCCTAGGCCCTGGGTACCCCTGCATTTTCTTGCTGAATGTGTCAAATTTCTTGGTTTAATCACCTTTGACCCTGATACTATTCTACATCTAGCTGTATAATTAATTGAATATCTCAGGGTAACCACAATTGGATTATAGTCACAACTACTCACTCTTCAGGAAACTCAATTTTTTTTATAACTTATTATAAAAAGTCACAAACTCTTACCCTTGAGTTCCTTAGCTGCAACACAACTGGCTATAATCATAGCTATCATATGGGTCCATTGTATTGCTCCATAGGATTTGGGAGCACAAAACAAAACAAAACCTGGTGCTACCATGCTGACACTCCTGCTTTTTGCTGTGCTATGAGTAATAAACTGTCTTTCTCTGATCCATGGAGTCTCGCTGTCTATTTTAGCATATAGGTCTGTTTGCTACCTTAGGCATCTCCTTTGGGATATTTTCCTTTCCATCCTCTGTGAGAATATATTCAGAATTTATAGTTTCAATTTTTTTAATCTATTAAATGTTTCTTAATAAGTTGGTTCTTTATCCATTGGATTTTGTGATTCTAGATTGTGTGAATTTTTTTTGGTCTAGGTGTAATTTATTATTACTAATTATTACTATTAATGCTATTAATGCATTATGGAGGCAGAAATAGCATTAATAGTAATAATCAGTAATAATAAATAGTAATAATAAATTACAGAAATAGCATTAATAGTAATAATTAGTAATAATAAATAGTAATAATAGTAATAATAAAGGGAGAGGGTTGGAACATGGTATCAGGCTCAATGTGTTGTCAGCGTATCTTTTGTGTATGAGTGTGTGCATGTGCATGTGTATGTGTGTGTGTGTGTGTGTGTGTGTGAGAGAGAGAGAGAGAGAGAGAGAGAGATACTGGGGGGTTGAACCTAGGGTGCTCTGCCACTGAACTACATCCCCACATTTTTATTTTGAGACAGGGTCTTGCTAAATTGCTGAGGCTGTCCTCTAACTTGCAACTCTCCTGCCTCGGCCTCCTAGGAACCAAGGATTACAAGTGTGTACCACTGTACCAGGCAGATCATATATATCTTTTGCTTGCTTTCTAGGCCAAGAATTTATATTCATTGCTAATAATGGGTAGTTGCCTCTGCTGTTTCTACTGTCTGCTGCTTAAGACAATTGAAAGTGGAGGGGCAATCAGCAGTAGTGCTCCAAGATTACTTGACAAGTTGCTCTACATATTCCCTAAGGTTCTTTGTATTTACAGCTGCTGGCCTTGTAAGGACTTTAATCCTCTCCTATTTGTGATTTTTTTTTTCCATCGGTCTGGTCTCAATTGCTTTTTGTTTTTCAGGGATTCTTATTGCCCTCATCTTTTTCCCCCCAAAACTAGACACGCACTTACATGCACCAGTTTTGTGAATGCATAATATGTATGAACTCATTTGAGCCTCACAGTGACAACTTGAGGATGACACTATTCTCATTTTACTGATAACAAAACTGCCATGGTATATATGGGCCTAGCAAATGACGAAGCTGGGCCGTGAGTCCAGGCATTAAGAGCCTCTGTCCTTTCATCTCTGCCATTGGTCTGCCTTTCAGAATGAAATAGGAATTGTCAAAGAGGCACAGCTAAATATAGAATCAACTATTCACTCAGATTGGGTAGATCAAGGAAGGCATCATGGAAGAGGTGGAATTTGATCCAGGCCTTTCAATACCAGAATTGTTTTTTTATCATATTTCTGCATAAGGCCCAAATTCTATTTCTGCTAGGGGCAGAAATACTTAAACCTGAAAATTCAACTTCAGTCACTAAACTAAGCCACTTTTTAGTAAATATTTACCTAAACTCAAGGCTTGATGGGAAATGCTACACAGTCTTGTCTGTTACCTGTCACTCAGAGCACAAGTAGCAGTGTAGGTGAGGATTTCAGTGAGGGTTTCTAGGTGTTGGAAATGAAAAGTATGATGTCTAAGAATCCAGATCCTTGTTAAATGGGAAAGTTAAGTGCAAGCACAATGGGGAACCTGCCTGAGGCTAGGAGGCAAACTCTCTGGGAGCTCCTGACTTGCTGACTCAAGCTGTTTCCTCAGAAGCATGGACCAGGGTTGGTCAGCCCTACAGCTGAGCTAGCTAGAATCAGAAACTTTCATCTCTGGAGACCAGACTGTTATCTGTGATTTTTAAATTCGTTTTGTCTGTTTACTTTTTTGTTGTTGTTCTTCTTCTTCAGCATTTTAATAAAGTCTTTTGAAAAATTCCACTGTATGTATGACTCCTTTTGCTAGGCAACCAAGGAAAAGATTTGTTTCTACCCTTTGGTTTAGGCTCCTAGGTGATGTTTATAAGAAGGGGCCAGAGTGACACTGGAACACAGTTTAGGATTGTGTTTAGAAGTGATCAAGAGCATAAAAAAATCTATGGAGAAAATGAGACACAGGAAGCAAGATAGTTTCTTTGATTCAGTCTTTGCCCATCCCCTCTCCCTCCCCCTCAAAGGAGATTCTTATTTCAGTACAAAGCTGAGAGCTGTGGGTTGGGTTTTAATAAGGAAGACTGATTTGCTTACACATAGCTAGCATTCTTTTATACTCTGGAAATGAGACAGCAGTAATTATTCTGTCTTCCTAAAAATGGCAATCTTGGCTTTATAGGGCCAAGATTTTCTGAGTAATTCTCTCTCTCTATTCTATCTATACAATTCCAATTTAAGATATTATAAACCTTATTTTGAGGTCCATGAATTCAACTCAGCATGACTTTTAACATTTCAAAATTTCTTCAGTTGGGAAGGAAAACAAAGGAAAGCTTTCAAAGCGAAATAATTAGTTCTTAAGAGGGGGGAAAAGACAACAAATTAAGCAATTTATTAGCTAAGAACTTAGAACATTAAGGAAAAGGAGCCATTATGGTCATTGAGTGTGGTCTTTTTAGAATAAATTTCAGCAGCTTATTCAGAGCATAAAGTTTATGTGATATATGTAGGTCATGCCAAAAGAAGGAGAAAAACATCCTTTTCCCAAATTTAAACCTGTTTTAATCCACAAAGCAAATCGAGTACAATTTAATAGGGTTTTCTCCCAAAAATGTCTAGCCTTTAAAAGTGACTTTGCCCAAATATCAAATGGAAATTTTTAAAAAGATTATTTTTTTTAAGTTGTAGATGGGCACAAAACCTTTATTTTACTTATTTACTTCTATGTGGTGCTGAGGATCGAACCAGTGCCTCACACGCGCTAGGCAATCATTCCACCACTGAGCCACAACCCCAGCCCCCACGTGGAAGTTTTCCTGAGATGGACATTTTAGTGAGCTAGGACAGCTCAGTCCCGGAAAGACTGCCTCAGGTCCGGTGCACTCACCTTCTTCAATCGAAGACTTTCGTTTCTGTTTCTCCTCCTTTCTTTTTCTGTACATTTGGGAAAAACCATTATCTGAGAAGCTGATAAGCAATTGGACTAGAAAGAGGGAAAGTAAAACCGGCAGGAAGATCTGGCCCCATGTCCTCGGCCAGCACATGGCTCCTCAGGCCTGGCGACTCTAGCCAGTGGGAGTGTAGCCGTCCCTGGGTGAGGGTTTGCACAGGCGGACTCTGCTCAGGGATTGTGACCCATCACTGCCCGGGATCCTGACACCTCCCCATCCCAGCCTGGACCTCAGCATAATTAGCAGAATCTTAGAACCCCTAATAGTTTGGCCAGAATGCCGAATGTTGGTAATGTAATCCTCGTGGGCATTCGGCTAGGGCTTCCAGGCCCCTGGACCCCCGTACAGTGCATCCCCTGGGTTTGATCTAGGTCTATTTACCTCCAAAGTCCACATCTTTTTCAGAAGTTGTTATTTTTTGACAAAGGCCTTGATTCTAATTCCACTACCCACAGCGTGTGAAGCAGTTGCGCCTTTCTGGTGGCCTTTCCTCCGATGTAAATGAACCCACCACCCACGCCCACCTCATGGGGGTGAGATGTAGTGCTGGTGTGAAACTTGCAGTTCTGAAAACCCTCCATCTTGTCCCTAACTAGTCTGGTGACCCTCTTGATGTACTCTAATGGGTTTCCCAATCAGTGTACAGTGTGTATTAGGTGCTACGCAGATGAATATCTTTTTCCACAGCTTTGTAATCATTTTAATATAACTAGTATTACAATGATATAATGGAAGCAATGCGAACTTCCTTTTAAAATAAATCTATATAAAAAAATCAAATGTCAGAAATACAAATAACAGTACATAGTTTAAGGATATGGCAAGAATTGGAAAGGAGGTTCCAAAATGGCTGAAATTTGAGCAATAGTAGTCCAGCAGGAGTGTGGAGGGGTGGCTGATAGAACTTTGTCCTTGACCACTGCTTATTTTTTTTCCACTCTTCAAAAATGAACAGTGAGCTGGGGGTCGTGGTGCTTACCTGTAATGTCAGCCACATGGGAGAGTAAGGCAAGAGGATGGCAAGCTACAGGCCAGCCTGGGCAACTGAGACCCCCTCTCAAACTAAAAGATAAAGAGGGCTGGGGATGTTGCTCAGTGGCAGAGTGCCCCTAAATTCAATCCCCAGTACTGAAAACTAAAATAAAGAATGATAGAGTTGTCCCACACATTCCTGGCATATTGATCTATTGATTTGGGGGCAATTGGATCAAATATTGACAATAAATATGGAGAAAGTAAAGAAATGCATAGAGTTCAACTATTTGTCCCTTGCCTATTTGTAATGCAGAGAACAGATAGAGGACTGTTAGCTACAATATGAAAAGTACTCTTATAAACTGACAAGAACAACAACAACAACAACAAAAAGAAAATAGGAAAATGCACAAGGGATTTAAAGAGGCCTTCTGCAGGAAAGCAAAACCAAATCAGGAATAAATAATGCAAAAAAAAATTAAACACCAGTACTAGGAAATTATAAATTGAGTAACGGTGAACAATCCATTTGCATCCACCAGATAGACAAACATTTAAAAATGCTAACACATATTGCTGGTGAAGATGTGGGAGGGAAAGGATCATGATAGCCCTTGGTAAAACTATGAATTGCTACAGTGTCTTTGCAAAGTAACCTGGTAGCAAATTAAAATTTAAAAAAAAAAAAAAAAAACACCTGTATTCTGTATAGGGAATGTACTTATTAGGGAAATTTGTCTCTCACTACTCCTCAGTTCTCATGGTACGAGTGGGCTACAACTTCTTCCCTGGAAGTAGAGCATGAAAATTAACCTGAATAAACAGGGCTTAGAATTTTCCCAGCACCATGATGATTCAAGGATGGGCACATGACATAAACAGTCCAATTCAAGACAATCTCAGGGATTTTGCCAGGACTGCTGGGACAAAGAAACCGTCTTCCCCTGGGTTCAAACTTGGAAGAATTCAGTCTCCATAGCTGTTAAAAGCCATCTTGATATTATGGGATAATGGCTGTGAAAATGTCCATATCAAAACATAAGTGACTCACAACCTCAGCTGCTGTTCCTCAGATTTCTCCACTAAATTCATGCCAAGGCCATGCTTCCTATAAGCTGCTGTCAGTCAAGACTAAAAATGACAGGGATACTAATGTAAAATGCCTTCAATGGGATATTTTGGTGTGAGGACTCCCATCAATCTGTTTGAAACTTTCTTGGAACTGTTCTGTACCCTGAAACTACCAAGTCAATCTTATTTCTTCTGTCTTTCATATGTGTCAGACCTGCATTGCTGTTTGAAGTTTCTCTTCACCGTCACTAGTTCCCTCCCCTTTATCTTTTCCAACTGTTTCCTCAAGAAATAAACTTCTAATTCCATTTTAGCAGATGATTCTTAAAGGACCCAAACACAAATACTGATGGAAACATTCTGAAAAAACTAGGCAATCATTTACCCACACATAATTAACTTTTTTTCCATTGCCTCAGTCTATTGTGGACTAATTGGTCATTGATTAGTATGCTAAGGGTACCAGAAGAAATATCACTACAAACATGGTATTCAACAATGGAGATTTATTTTTCATAGTTTTAGAAACTAGAAATCCAAGATCAAGGTTCTAGCAATGCTGATTTCTCCTGAGGATTCTCTCCTTGAATTGTAGATAGCCCTTCTGTGTCCTCACATGGCTTTTCCTCTATGCACACCCACTCTTGGTTTCTCCTTTTATTCCTATAAGGACACCAGTCCCCTTAGAATAGGGTCCCATTCTTAAGTCCTGTGTAATCTTAATTAGCTCTATAAAGGCCATATATCCAATTACAGTCATATTGGGGGTTGGGGCTTCAACATATGCATTTGGCAGGGGACACAATTCAGTCCACAACAGGAACAATACTTTTCTGTCGTCATTTGATTTACTCTTTGTCCTTCAGAGTAGCTACTGTGAAAAAAAAAAAAAATCATTCACCTGAAATCTGTTTTTTCCCCCCCGTGTTTTTTTTTCAAGTAATCTCTGTTTTTGACTTAGTCATAAGCAAATGAATACCTATTATAACGATTTTCAACACTTTCACTGATTTGGCATTTATCAGATATAGATAAGAGTTGGTATTTGTTTAAAAGAGAAAGAAGTAGCCAACAGACTCAAGGAAAGAACAATTTGCTGTAAATGTCTGAGCATGTCTACCGATGCCCTCTGTTGGTAGCAACAGAAATGGCCTGTTTTAGTCCAGCTTTGTTATCCTCTATGTGTATGTTCAAAATGGGAAAGTACAGTGACCTCCATATCACCCTGTTGGACATTCTGTGTTTGTGTCAGTCTGACCATACAGGAGGGTTAACTGAAGAAAATTCAATGAAGGGATGAAACACACTTGTAGGTATGGCAGGAGTAATAAGAACAAAGGATGGCAAAGCACCAGGCACTAACAAGAAAGGGGGGTTCTTCTCAGCCCTGGAACTGGAGGACAAAGTTAAGAGTGGAGAGGTGAAATTGAGAGACAACCTAAGGATTGCCCAGCAGGAACCGTGGTTACAAGGTAGAGGAAGTAAGAGGCTAAGAGAGTAGGGGTAACTACTATGACCTCTCTTCTCCTGCTATCTGTCCTCCCAAAGCCAGAGGGCAAAGAATCTCAGGTAATATGATCTGCAAAGGGCAGGGTGGGGCAGATGTAGAAAGAAAATAGGAGTCGAGGATTAATGTGACAATCCAGCATACTTTCCCCTCACAAAAGGAATTGCCCTCTGTCTCTTCTCTTCCTTGAATTTTCTTGTCCTCTTTTTCTCCTTCCTTCTCTCCCCACTCTGGCAGCCCTCCTCACACATACTCACATACACATACACACGATCATTCTGGATTATGGCTACTTATTTTATATACTGACTTCTTAAATGCCTCATCCATGGGTAGTAAATATTCCTGCACCCATCATAGGAGGAACGCATTTAAAAAAAAAAAAAAAAAACACTTGAAATAAATAAATGAGTGCATGCTCATTATCTATCTTCATGACTTAAAATCTTCCTGGGGGGAGAAAAGCCAAATGAAACTTATGTCATGTATTCTACCTGGAATTCAATACAATGAATCCCAATCCTGAGTACAATAAATGCTTCAATAAAGCAAATGGGATAATTTTTCATGATTCCTGGCTATAAATTTATGTGAGAAAAAAATTCAAATAACAGATTCTAAAAGAACTTCCACACAGTTTGATTTTTATAAATAAAATGTGAAGTGTATTTTAAAATAAGACTAGCTTACTTCGTGTCTGACTTAAAGTCCACACAAGACTTTAAATGGAAGTGAAGAATCAAGTTTATCTCTAAAAATGACATTAAAGTCAACACTGAAAATGCTCAAATATAGGCTCTCAGTTGAATTTTTAAATAAACAGTCTGTTGAAAGTAAGCAGATTAAAAAAAAAAAAAAAAACTCCAGGTTAATTAGCCAGTACTATTATAGCCAGGGTCAATATCCCCACCTCCCAGACACACACAGAAATTGTTTATGGTGATTGCAGTATATTCCTTTGTTCCAACCATTGTAAGTGTTGATCACTGAACCATGGAAGTTGTCTAATATGACAATTAAGACAAACAGACACGTGAACTCATTATTGGCTTTCTAATTACTGCAGTTGGCTTAATGACAGGGTTGCATTAAGTAGTACTATCAGTGTCTAAATCTTAAAGCAGATAGCTCTTCAAATGTCGTATTTCCTTATATATTCCCAATGAAGTGGGGGAGAGGAACAGCGTAATGGAGATTGTTGGCATTTTGTTGCCATAAAAAAAGGAATATTTATAATCTATTAGATATTTTGAAGGCACATATAACATGAAAGGACACTGCAATGGAAAACATACATTCTGGTTGGCTATTGTTGCATTAAGTGCATTGTTCAGCAAATGTTCCGCTATATTGAGTTTCAGGCATCAGTTGAATTACATTATGGTGAGATTTGTGATTAAGGTATGCTAACTCAAAATGACAAGCCAAGAGCTTTTAAAACCCACATTTCAATGAAATCTGGCAGCACAAAAACAGCTGCTCTAAGTCTGCTCCTCTAATATTTCAAAGGAAGAATAGCACTGGGTTTCTGATACCATAT